GGGGAACAGATACCAGAGCATCAGGGAACCTGGACTGGATCCAGACCAGGATCAGAGTCCAAACTGATCAAACCAGAAACAGAGAGGATCACGAAAACCTGGATCCAGTTTTTACACTTCAACAACAAAAACCAGGAGTGGACTTCAGGAATGAACTCAGATTAGGACTGAGAGAGAGGGGGGAGAAGGAGGAGCAGAGGAGGAGGAGGAGGAGGAGGAGGAGGAAGAGGAAGAGGAGGAGGAGGAGGAGGAGGAGGAGGAGGAAGAGGAGGAGGAGGAGGAGGAGGAGGAGGAGGAGGAGGAGGAAGAGGAGCAGAGGAGGAGGAGGAGGAGGAGGAGGAGGAGGAGGAGCAAACGAAGTGGGTCTTCAGCTGACGAGGCGTTCACTGACCTTCAAACAGTTCAGCGTTGTCGATTTGACCCGGAAAGGACGAAGAGTTCTGGTCTCCGGTCTCCACGAACTCCTTCCACTGTTCATACCAACGACGCTCCACCACGTACCTGCAACACACACACACACACACACACACACACACACACACACACACACACACACACACACACACACACACACACATTAACTGACTGCAGCTTTAATAAAAAACATGTTTATTTTTGACGTTTAAAGGTCGGCAGGAATCTGTTAAAGAATCAAAAACTCTTCTAATATCAGTCAATCGTTATTAGTTATTGATTATTTGGTAATATATCGATATCTCTGTGTTCTCTTCTGTCTGTGTCGTCAACATTTGAACATTTTTGAGCGGTCCGCTCTTTCTGACTGTAAACAAAGCCGTTCTCCACCTCCTCTAACCTGATTGGTTGTGAGGCAGACGCTGCTCCCCCGTGTCGTTCAGGAGCCCAAACAAAGTTAGCGTGCTACAATATCGGACAGTAGAAACCAACCAGAAAGTTCGGAAAATTGTCTGAATCCTCCTTTGGCCACGACTGCCGACACAAGCAAGAAAACAAAGTAAATACCGGAGACTCTGGAGGAATAACGGGCGCTTAAAACGGAGGTAGACCGGACAAGAGCTAAAAAGACGGGTCAACATAAATGATGGGGGACGCTTGGGGATCTTGGTGACCCTGTAACCTTTCTGCTGGACAGGTAAACCGCTTTAACAAAGTAAGACAAGTGTCTGTAACAGAAGTGTTTCTTGTCAAACGGACCTGCTGTAGCGTGTTGTAGCGCCATCGCTAAACTGTCCTCCCTCGGGTCTTGTTGTCTGTTTGTGGGCGGGGCTTGCTGGAGCAGAGAGGGAGGGGTCGAGTTTACGTTCAAGACTAAAACCTGGAACTTCATCAGATCCTGAGTTTTAAAATCTGCGGTTCTTCGATTGTTACAGATGATTTTTCAGGAAATCTTCACGTCTGAAACCGTTTTTTTTCCCTCGCTGCACAGTAGGAGGAGTCTGTGACAGGACAGGAAGTGAGTAAAAACAGACCAATCACAGCAGAGCTCCAGAACTCTCTACCTGATCAATTTTACAGGCGATCAGTCAAATCAAACAGGATTATTGATTAGAGACCAAACACCAAGTGTCGACCGAAACCGCGGGACAAGAGCGCGCCGAAAAGACCGACACTTTAGACGAGTTAATGCATCAGGTGAACTCGCCACTAACCCGTCAACCATCATTAACGACCTCACTAAAGGTCAACGCTGACACCCTCATCTCTGTGGAGTCACAACAAAAACCTGTTCAAACTGGTTTAGGTAAGATCTGCAGACCACATCCAGACCCGGATCAGCAGGACTCATGGACTTAGTTTGGATCAGAGGGAAACATTTGGGGTCTGATGAGTCGACTGTTTCAGATCTGAGAGACTCAGAGTGAAGCTGAAAGTCTGAGGCAGGACCCCCCAGAACCAGAACCTCCTCACAGCTCCGGTCCGAGAGACAAACCCGTCAAAGTCCCGGGTCACACGCAGTCATGAACCTCAGAGAGAGTTCACTTCATTCAGACCAAAGCAGAGTCAGGCATCTGTCTTCATGAGTCTCAGACCTGGACCGGAGACTCGACTTTAAGGCCTGATTATGAGAATCTTCAGACAGAAGGACGTCCCCCTCAGCACGCCGACACACGGAGGGAGGAACAGAGTACGATAAAAAAACGAGTCGACAAAGTCAACAGGAGGAGCAGCGTCTGACTGTTGATCATGAGTCATTTCTGTCCTGGAGGAGCTGAGGAGTGGCACACCTGTCAGACTCTCTCACCACCTCAGCTGAGGGGGGGGGGGGGCAGGTGAACAGACATATCAGCACAACGCCAACGAGTCCGCAGTTTGTCTGAAGAATGAGAGCGGAGAACGACGGTGTGTTTTGACCTCTTTAGACTCTGCAGCGGCGGCGGCGGCGGCGGCCCTCATCTGTCAACATGATAAGACTGTTAATGTTTAAAACCAAGACAAACACCAGCACCTCTGTCTACCAGGGAATCTTCCTGATGTGACGCAGAAATGATCCGTGACTTCAGATCTGCAGATTTACAGCAGCACTAAAGTCAGAGTGAGGGAGGAGGAGAGGAGGAGAGGAGGAGAGGAGGAGAGAGGAGAGGAGAGGAGGAGAGAAGGAGAGGAGGAGAGAAGGAGAGGAGGAGAGGAGGAGAGGAGGAGAGGAGAGGAGGAGAGGAGGAGAGAAGGAGAGGAGGAGAGGAGGAGAGGAGGGGAGGAGGAGAGGAGGAGAGGAGGAGAGGAGGAGAGAAGGAGAGGAGGAGAGGAGGAGAGAAGGAGAGGAGGAGAGGAGGAGAGGAGGTCAATGATCCAGCAGAAACCTTTTCACTTTCATTATCTCCACGACTGTTTTAGACCCTTTACTCCACCTGAAGGTGTTCTCTGACCGGACCGTCTCAGTTTTTAACCTTTTTTTTCAGACACCTTTTCTGTGTCTGTTTAAAAGACAAAAACATGAAATAAACGTCTGTTCTACTCTAAAGTCATGATTTATGTGTTCTTCATGTTGAACTTTGGTGTCATCTGTGTTTTTATTGACATGTTTAGTTCAGAGTTTATCGTCGGTCAGGTTCACCAGGATAGAGGGGAAGTCTAGTTTAGTTTACTCTAAAATTGGCCGATTTAATCGACTCACCGATAAATCGGTCCGGCCCTAATCAATATTCTAATCAGCAGTAATATTATACCAGGACACCATCAATCCAACAACCATGAATCAGGATGTCTGATGAACTAAAATGAGATTTTCTCCGTTATGAAATCACCCCACAGTGAATCTCCTTAAACACAACTTTGTTGCACGGCAACAGTGAAGGAGGCTTCCTGAATGCTGGGGCACAGAGGCTGAAATGAGAGTTTCTAATGACAGCAGTCTGAAGTATGTGGAGGATTTCTGAAACTGAGACCATCTGAGAGGGAGGACATACAGCCAGAGGACAAACCTCAGACCCTCTATGATCAATATTTACACCAGAACCTCAACAACTGTGAGAGTCCAGGAGGTTTCAGAACACAGACCAAGAAGACTGGGATCTCCTAAAACTGACGATCACACGACTGAGGTCGGGGTGAAGCTCCTGTGAGGAACTTTATACTGCGTCAACTCAGACTGATGTCCTCATGGACTGATGTCCTCATGGACTGATGTCCTCATAGACTGATGTCCTCATAGACTGATGTCCTCATGGACTGATGTCCTCATAGACTGATGTCCTCATAGACTGTTGTCTTCATAGACTGATGTCCTCATGGACTGATGTCCTCATGGACTGATGTCCTCATAGACTGATGTCCTCATGGACTGATGTCCTCATAGACTGATGTCCTCATAGACTGATGTCCTCATGGACTGATGTCCTCATAGACTGATGTCCTCATAGACTGATGTCCTCATGGACTGTTGTCTTCATAGACTGATGTCCTCATGGACTGATGTCCTCATGGACTGATGTCCTCATAGACTGATGTCCTCATGGACTGATGTCTTCATAGACTGATGTCCTCATAGACTGATGTCCTCATGGACTGATGTCCTCATGGACTGATGTCTTCATAGACTGATGTCCTCATAGACTGATGTCCTCATAGACTGATGTCCTCATGGACTGATGTCCTCATAGACTGATGTCCTCATAGACTGATGTCCTCATGGACTGATGTCCTCATGGACTGATGTCCTCATAGACTGATGTCTTCATGGACTGATGTCCTCTATCAAACTCGACACCTGCACTGATTCATTATCTCGCTGCGACACACAGCTGGATCAAAATCATGTCAGAGGTCATGAGACGGCCTCATTCTCACTTCTCCTCTCCAGTTTCTTCATTTCACTTTTCCTTTGTTACCGTGGATACGTCTAATATCTCATCACGTTATTAAGAACCTGTGTGTCTCCGTGTGTCTCCGTGTGTCTCTGTGTGTCTCCGTGTGTCTCCGTGTGTCTCTGTGTGTCTCTGTGTGTCTCCGTGTGTCTCCGTGTGTCTCTGTGTGTCTCTGTGTGTCAGCTTTCATTGATGATAACTCAGCGGTGAATTCATGGACAGACATCTTCAGAGGGAAAACAAAGAGAGGAAGACTGAAATCACCTCGTCTGACGGGGGGGGAGGATGTTTGTGGGAACAGCACAGCCAGGTAAATTTCCAGGTGAGACTTTCAGCAGCATATGTCTGTAAAGAGTTTACTCTGAATGTCTTTAATAAATGTTTAAATGGTGTTTGAGTGAATGAACAAGAATAAAAATCTGACACACGGTCACTCAGGATCACTGTGGAGAAGAAATCGCTCCAATTTAATGAAAATCTTTTCAGATGTTTGAAAGACGTTCTCATCAGCATCACCAGCACTGACACCGACCCACGTCTGTGTTTTCACTAAACATACACCGATAGATCAACCGGCCGATCGATCGGCACCAATTTCCTCAATTTTGGGGATCGGTGATCAGCTGATTCTTACATATGAAACCGATTTTATCCACCAATCTAATCGACCTCAGCAAAGGTCTGACAGTCCGCTGTTGGAGCTTTTTGCTTTGCCAGAACGACAGGCCCCGCCCACCAGGTCACGTGTGCACACACATGCGTGCATCAGTGCCAGCAGCACACACAACAGTCATCCGGAGCGAGATCAACCGAGCATGTTGAACCCACGACAAGAAAACCTCAAAATCAGGAGAGTTTATTAGTGGGTTCAGTTGTTAGTTTGTCCTGTTTATGTGCAGATAAAAAAAAAACACAAAAAGTTTTTATTGTTTCACAAAAATTGTTCAAATTTTTCATTAAAATAAGAATAGAGCATCAAAGGTGGATGTTTTTAGTAGGGCTGGGCGATAAAACGATAACGATTTATTGAAAATTAGTTTCCTTTGATGTCGATAAAACACGGTCAATTCGCTTTTTGGTCGACTATACGAACAGCCAATGAAAAGGGGAGTGTCTCCGGGTCTGAACCAATCATGTTCTGAATTAGAACCAAGTATCAACCAACTGCAGCGTCGTAGCAGACAGCAGCTCCACCCAACCATAGCACTTTAACAGGTGAAGCCGACAGCACTGTTGGTGAGAAACAAAGAAAATGAGTGCTACCCCCGACAGAAATGACCATGAAGGCTCAACAGATGACCACATCAATGTCAACCACAACACTGGCGTTAGGAAAACGTCGGTGGTGTGGAGGTATTTTGGTTTTTGGAGGTCGGACATGAAGCAGAGTAATGTGGACTGTAAATTATGTCGAGTACATGTTCTCACAAAGTCGGGGAATACCTCAAATCTTTTTCACCACCTGAAGCAGCGCCACGCCGCAGAGCACGCGCAACGCAAAAGGTTACCAACCCCGAGAGGAGCGAGGAGCCCATGGCGCCTGAAACAGACGACCATTCAGTCGGCTTTCTCTAGAGCGACGCCTTACGACAAAACGCCAAAGAGACACAAAGACCTCACAGATGCAGGAGATTATTGTGTTGGAAAAGACATGAGACCAAGAAACACTGTTAGATTTTTATATCCTGATATTGATCCATATCAGCTGATAAGAAAATAATATATCCTGATAAATTTTTTCACATATCGCCCAGCCCTAGCTGTCAGTTGTAAAAAAATAAAGATCGGTATGGTGAAGCTTCTTAAAGATCAGTGATCGGCAGGAAAATCGTGATCGGTTCAGCCTCTGGTTTTCTAAAGAGTTTTAAAGGAGTGTTTTCGTTTTTGTCCTGAAGTCAGTAATAATTCGAGTCTGTTTCGATTCGAAGAAAGTGTCCTGTCAACATGATCTGGTTTCACTTTCTAAAGTTCAGAGTTAGAGATGAACCGACTTTAGATCCACATTCATCTTCTTCCTCTGATCATTATTTCACTCAGACTGAAACTCTAAATATAAATAATATAGTTTTCATTTCGGTGGAATCAAAAGTGGAAGTGAACGAGGCGGCGGTGACCGTCTCCTCACAGCGGGCTGACAGGTTAGCAGCGGCGGCTAATGGTCAGTCTGACACCCCGATCAACCGACCGAGGACCGGTGTCTGAACCCTGCCGTTAAACCCGTTAATAACCGTTAGGTAACGTTAACCAGCCGTAAACCCCTGCCCCTGTGTGTGTGTGTGTGTCTGTGTCTGTGTGTGTGTGTGTAGCAGCGGGCGGACTCTCACCAACTGTCCCCAGCTCGGAGCTCACACTCCCGCAGCAGAGACTCGATCTCCCGTCGCTGGGTCTCCAGGCCCGGAGGCTCCGCGGCGGAACAGCGGCTGTTGGCCGTCATGCTGCCGATCAATCACTCATAAATGTGGGAAGTGTTGGAAGTATTAAACCGAGCAAAGAAACGAAAGACAGGAGTAAACCGCCGCATCGATTAACCGATAAACGGGGAAGCTGCACGGAGCTGTGTTTGCGGAAGTAGGAAGTGTTTCACATTTGGATCATGACGACTTCCGGAGTAATCTAGTGGCAGTTCACCAGTCTGTCCTCTGGGGGGCGCACATAGCGGAAACCAGAAGTTGACAAACACGATATTAAAAGACAGATAACCTTTTTTTCCTCACCGTCCAACATTAAATCAGATTAAACTTTTCCTGTTTTTATAAAATTAGGATTAACAAAATTATTTTGATTTGCTAAATGCCGAAATAATAAGAGAGAGGAGGACTCTACACAGTCCAGTTGCCTGTTTTAAGTCTTCAAGATAACCATGACCTGGATGAATGAGAATCTACATGGACAAATAAGAGAGAGGATTTTTATACTTTTTTTATTAATACTACTACTACTACTAGTACTAGTACTACTACAACTAATAATAATAATAATAATAATATTATTATTATTATTATTATTATTATTATTATTATTATTATTATTATTATTATTATTATCAGAAATAGAGGACCCCAAAATCACATTTAGCTGAGGGCCCTATTGAGGCTTGGGCTGGCTCTGTAGGTGGGCATATATCTGGGTTTTTTTGGTTTTCCTGCTTAATTTCCTGTCCCACACTCCAGTCAAGAAGATGGCGGTAATGCTCCCCAAGATGGTTGCCAACCGCCAATAAAACGAAGAAGAAGAAGAATTCCCCGCACTCAGCCAATGAGCTGTTAGTTTACTACAGTGTGGTGAAGAAGGAGGGAAAAGATGTGCTGCAGTTCGCGGGCTGAGAGGCAGCAGCAAACATGGAGGTGGAGATGACGGAGGACTGTGAGAAGAAGCCGACCGATAGTGAGGAGAAGGGGGACACAGGAGGCGGGGAGAGCTCGGCCAAAAGCTCCGGCAGTTCGTACGAGCTCCCGTGGGTAGAGAAATACCGCCCGCTGAAGCTGAAGGAGATCGTGGGGAACGAGGAGACGGTGAGCCGGCTGGAGGTGTTCGGAAGAGAGGGCAACGTCCCGAACATCATCATCGCGGGTCAGTGTGACTGAGAAACAGAGGAGAGGGCCGACATCATTTAATATCATTTAATACTATTCAACATTATTTAACATTATTTAACATGAACTCATTATTCCACCATTTTACTGAATAATCATCATGAAGAGGACAGACTCAGTTTACAGACTTTATCACAGTTTTAAAGAAAAATTAGATCAGCTGTTTTAATTTACACTAAACATAGAAATGAAATTATCATTACATCATTTTATTTAGTGAAAAACAGAATAAATGGAAAAGTTTAAGGATGTGAGAGACTGTAAGGACCAGACTGACAACAGGGTCAGATACGATCAAAAAGTTTATTATCACGATAATTTATTATCAGCCGATATCGATATATCACGATATAAAAATGAAATGTAACCGTGTTTCTTGGTCTCATGTCTTTTCAATAATCTCCTGCATCTGTGAGGTCTTTGTGTCTCTTTGGCGTTTTGTCGTAAGGCGTCGCTCTAGAGAAAGACGACTGAATGGTCGTCTGTTTCAGGCGCCATGGGCTCCTCGCTCCTCTCGGGGTTTGTAACCTTTGGCGTTGCGAGGGGGTCCAGTGATGGTTAACCTGTGAACCAGTTAGGATTAAAAGTTCAGACTTTGTTGTGTGAGTTTAGTTTAGTGAGATTAAACCAAATCTGTGACTAAAGAAAGTACAAGAATCCTGATCTGGTTTTTGTGATCCAGGTCCTCCGGGCACAGGAAAGACCACCAGCATCTTGTGTTTGGCCCGAACTCTGCTGGGCGCCTCCATGAAGGACGCCGTGCTGGAGCTCAACGCCTCGAACGACAGGTCAGACTGGCAGCTGTGGGTCCACTTGAGTTTTTGAACATGAGTGGGCGAGCTAATGTCCTCTGTTGGCATCTGCAGGGGAATCGACGTGGTGAGGAACAAGATCAAGATGTTTGCTCAGCAGAAAGTCACACTGCCCAAAGGACGACACAAGATCATCATCCTGGACGAGGCGGACAGGTGAGAGTCCGGGTCAGTGGGCGCTGTGCCTCAGAGAGAAGAGAGGGCGACCTGCCCAGCTCCTCTGATTCTATCATTATTGATTTTAACGTAGCTGAAAACAGAAAAACACGTTTGTTTTCTTCTCCTCCAAACTTCAAACCTCTCAGTTTTAGTCAGAAACACGATCAAAACTCAGTCTTTCCCTTTCTCCGTCCTGCAGCATGACTGATGGAGCTCAGCAGGCGCTGAGGAGGATCATGGAGATCTACTCCAAGACGACGCGCTTCGCTCTCGCCTGTAACGCCTCCGACAAAATCATCGAGCCGATCCAGTCTCGCTGCGCCGTGCTGCGGTACTCCAAACTGACAGACGGGCAGATCCTGGCCCGGCTGCAGGAGGTGGTGGAGAAGGAGCGACTGTCTGTGTCCGATGACGGGCTGGAGGCGGTCATCTTCACCGCCCAGGGAGACATGAGACAGGTGAGGAGGGAGGCGGAGTTTAGAGAGGAGGTTAAAGGTGCTCGTGGTCGTTCTGCTCACCTTTCTGCTGTTTCCAGGCGCTCAACAACCTGCAGTCCACGAACTCCGGCTTCGGCTTCATCAACAGTGAGAATGTGTTCAAAGTGTGCGACGAGCCCCACCCCCTGCTGGTGAAAAGCATGCTGGGACACTGCGTGGAGGGGAAGATCGACGAGGCCTACAAGGTGGTGGAGCAGCTGTGGGCGCTGGGTTACTCTCCAGAGGACATCATCGGAAACATCTTCAGGGTCTGCAAGACGTACCAGATGGCCGAGTACCTGAAACTGGAGTTTATCAAGGTGAGAGCGAGCGGCGGCGGCGTCCTGCTCCGACTCGGAGAAACAAGTTTATACACTTTTTAGTTTTCCAGACAGTCAGCTGCTCGTCTTCTTCCCTGACGCTGCGCTCTCGTTCCTGCAGGAGATCGGTTACACTCACATGAGGGTGGCCGAAGGCGTGAACTCCCTGCTGCAGATGGCCGGTCTGTTGGGTCGACTCTGCAGTAAAACGCTGCCCCCTGCTGCCAGCTGAGGCCCATAACACCGTCTGAAAACCTGCTGCTGCCCGTCAGACTGTCGGAAAACAACCCGCCACTGTGGACCGTGTGACTAAAACAGACTTTCTCACCGACGATCAATCAGCTGATAAATTTACTCCAATAATTCAGAATAAAAGCACATTTGTAATAAAAGAAATGAAAACGATCCATGAGTGACAGTTTCATGAGTTGAACTTTGAACATAAACTGAGTTTGAGACTCGAGTTCGTCATGATTTAGAGCTTTACCTCAGGCTGATCTGATCAAGATGATTGACGTCGCAGCAAATCGATCAATGAAACCGTTAAATTCAGGCCAGACTCGTCCTCCATCACTGATTCATCTCTTTATTTGGACAGGTGGGTCCCTCTGAGACCGGTTCAGGACGACTTCAGACCGTTTATCTAAAACAGGAATCGTAGCGGGTCCAGACCAAAGACATCAGAGTGGGGCGCTCACTGCAGCGGTTCCACAGGTTCAGGTTTTGACTTCTTCACTTTACAGATAAATGAAGCGACTCTGTTTTTGGATAACCAGATTTATTAAACTACAAAGTTAGTTGACATTAAAAGGGAACAGCAGATCTCAGAAACAGCTACTTCAGTACGAACCTCCAAAGTCATAAATATGAAGAACAGTTACAGACGGCAGGAGAACACTCAGAATATAGAGAAGAAGAAGAAGAAAAGAAGGTTTCGTGTTCGCGGTCGGAGGAGGAAACGTTCAGGTGCCTCTCAGATTTATTTCAGGTGCTTTAGTCCTCCAGCAGGGGGCAGCACTGCACCAGAAACACTCACTACCAGCAGCTGAATAAAAAGTGGACGCAGCCTCCGGGTCTGAAAAGTGAAGCCAAAGTGGAAACGAAACGAAACTGCGAACAAAGAGGAGATGGTTCCACTTCAGAGTGGATTATTTCAGTGCGATGAACTCTGAACTCTGACCTCGGTCAAACAGAGATGGCGTGAGGCGTCGCTTTGAGCAGCTCAGCGTTATAGAGAGTCGAATCAGCTGAGAACCTATTTTCCTAACCCTATTACCTTTAACCCGAAAACCTCATTGACTCCAACATCATGTCCAAATATGGTCATGGCCGTTTTCAGGATGTAGCTCCGGTGGGAAACGTCAGAGAGGCTACGTCCACTTTTTCTGAACCACCTGAGCTCAAACTCGTAAATATCCTCGGAGAATAAAACATGGCTGCCGACCAGCTGAGCTCTGACGGTCGGCGTGCCGGCGTCCTCCTACACTGGGTGACGTTTAAAGTGCGTCTCATCAGATCAAGAGTCACAGTCGGCGTGATTACAGTCCAGAAAACGGAGCAGATCCTGAAGTGGATCTTGGATCCGTTTTCACCGTGAGCGACGTCTCGGAGTTAAAGTTCGGAAGTTTCACAGCTGAACAACATCTCAGTTACTCACCAGACTGATACCACTGTACGGTTCGCATGCCAAAACTCCACGACGACGACGAGTAAACGAGCGTGCTGTTAACGAAGGGCGGGGCGGCGTCTGTGACATCTCGACAGATCGGAAAGGAACCGAATCAGAAACAGAAACAGAAGAGAGAGAGACGCTGCTCCTGTCTCAGGGAGAGGACGGACGAGACAGAAGAAACCGTTTAAATCCGTCTGTCAGCGTCCGACAGTCAGTCCTTCAATAATCTGTCGACGCACAAACGTGACGGTCAACCCGAACCTCAGACCGCCTCCAACAGTTTCATCTGAGGAAGTAGAAGACGGCAGAAAGACGTTTCTGAGGAAAGTTCTGTCGTCTTTTCACGATAAAGTTTTTCACTTTAAATCAGGATCAAAAAACGGATTTAATGACCTTTAAAATTTTTCACTTTCTATAAAAATATTCAGAGAAACTCAAAAATTTGACCTCAAAAACAAAAATATCAGAAGAACCAAAAACAGATAAAAAAACAGAAAATAAAATATTTCAGATCAGCTTCATGAACCTGTTCAGTAAATTTTCATGTTTTTATATTTTTGCAGTTTCATGAATATTTTCAGGTTTTTTCTCTTCGACGTTCGTTTTTAAGGTTTTTTTCTCTTTCTTTGTTTTCTGAGACGTTCTCGTGTTTCTGTTTCTGATTCGTGGTCATGACACGTCTTCGCCGTCGACCTTCAGGGCTCCTGTGAAACTATGAAGGTCAAAGTTCATTTCAGCCGAAACCAGCGAGAGTCTGCGCTCAAGAGGAGGAGGAGGAGGGGTGATGAAGAACAGTCTACTGAAAAAATACAACACAACCTTTATATAAATATGAACCATGAACATTTACATCTACAGCGTAACCACGGCAACCGCCTGACTCCAGAGAGGAGGGAGGGAAGTACAAACGGACTGCTGCTCGACCCGCTCCGGTAAAAACACCTCCTGACAAACTTTTATTTGAGCTCTTTGGGAAGTTTCACGGCGAGGACAGACGTCTGCGTCTGAGACAGAGGAGAGGTCAGAGTGCACGCCGCAGCGTCGGAGGAGGAGGAGGAGGAGGAGGAGGAGAGGAAGTGAGGAGTAAAGAGAGAAAGAACCAGAGCAGGAAACGGCGTCCTACGCTCCTACGCCGTCATCTGGATGGTCAGAGCTTCTGTGTGTTCAGGCCCCGTGGAGTTGGCGCCC